CTGTCTTCCAGGTCCCAGTTCAACCAATTCTCCCGCCTCAGTCTCCTGAGTAGCTGGGATTACAGGCACGTGCCACCACGCCCAGCTAATTTTTTTGTATTTTTAGTAGAGACGGGGTTTCACCATGTTGGCCAGGCTGGTCTTGATTTCCTGACCTTATGATCCATCCACCTCAGCATCCCAAAGTGCTGGGATTACAGACGTGAGCCACCGCGCCCGGCACCCAGCTAATTTTAAAAACATTTTGTAGAGACAGGATCTCACCATGTTGACCAGGCTGGTTTCAAACTCCTGGGCTCAAGTGATCCTCCTGCGTTGGCCTCCCAGAGTGCTGGGATTACAGGCATGAACCACCATACCCAGCCCCATGGACCACTGTTCTTTGAAAGAACAAGTTCATTAACCCTGAGGGTAGCCCCAGGAGTTAGGATATGAAGTTAGCCAATTACTGGTGACTCCCTCTGCCAAAATGACTATGTGAAAGCCAGCATGCATGGAGGAAGACAGGAAAATAAGGAAAACAAATCTCTCACAATTGTCATAATGCAGGCTCGGTTACAAACCCAGAAGGCAGAATGCAGTCAATGACTTGGTGACATGGGGGTACAAAAGACCACCCCCTAACCTCAAAGAGCCACTCTGAGGTGCAGTTTACCCTCCAGGGCTTCTCCCTGGGATTAGACTAAGCTACATCCAGCTGAGACCACATTCCAGCTCAACTCCCTTTGCTGTATTTCAGTTTTCTCACTTCTCTATTTCTAGAAGCTCTCTTTCAATAAATGACTTGAACAAGAATCCCTGTCTCAGGCTGTGCTTCAGGATTCTAAACTGTGACACCATCTCTTCAACGGAGAACATTTATCTTGTTGGTCTCAGTCCAGAAGGAAACCTTGTTATTCCAGGCCACCTCTGTTGCAAATCCCTTCAGTCTCTCACCCAGGGCATTGCTTTTGAATTTCAATGCTAAATCAGATATTGTATCTTTCCTCAATATTCCGTATAGGAAGGTTCACAGGGAAGAAACTCATACAGATCATCTGATAACATTGTCAAGCAAAAGTTGTAGAAGGCCAGTGTTTTGGACTGAGCTCCTATACTAGACGCAACAGACCAGACCAAACCAAAATAGAGTCACTCATGCTAAATGTCACATTATCCAACTGAAACTTTAAGATGGCAGAAAAATCCCCAGATCAGTTTTTCCTGACAATAGGAGATCCCACTTTACCTGAATCAGTGTAAGAAGGAAGTCCCCTCTGCTTTAACCCTTATTTAAAAAGTAACCGGAAGTAATCTGACGTGAACCAATCAGCTTTTTTCCCTATTTTTCTGTTTCCTTTTTCCCACCTTACAAAATTCACCGTTTTGCCACTGGCCAGTGGGAGCTCTCATTGTATTTCATAGAATGAAGGATGTGCCATTCATGAATTATGAATAAAAGCCAATTAGATCTTTAGCTAAATGTGCCGTAATTTTGTCTTTCAACGTGATTTGCCTTAAACTGATACTCCTCATACTTATTTCCATCCACATACAACGTCTTAGCATATCTTATCCTAAAGTATCTTATCCTAAAGTATAATGAATACTGCAGACTGGACAATTTATAATGAAAAGAAACTTACTCCTTACAGTTATGGAGGCTGGGAAGTACAAGGTCAAGGGGCTTACATATGGGGAGGGCCTTTTTGCTGCATCAGCCCATGGTAGAAGGCAGAAGGAACAGAAGGAAGGAGAGAGAGAAAGAGACAGAGAGAGAGACAGAGAGACACTCGCTGTTATAACAAACTCACTCCCGAGATCCTGAGATAATGACATTAATCCAGTCAAGCCTGCAGAGCTCTTATGACCTAGTCACCTTTGATTAGACCCCATCTCCCTACACTGTTGCATTAGGGATTAACTTTTCAACATATGAACTTTGGAGAACATCTTCAAAGCATAACAAGAAGGGAAAACTAGTTTATTTTTTAAATACATGTTGATGCACGTAGCACACATCTGGACACCAGGCAACATTTTTCTAAGGAGCTTCCTACTCATCAGTTCTTCTCTACCCCACTCATGACAAACATATTGCCACTTTCTGTAAGTGGCATTAATAGGAGTGTGAATTATGAGTGTTGAGGTAACTGGCAATTCTTTTTTTTTTTTTTTTTTGAGATGGAGTCTCGCTCTGTCGCCCAGGCTGGAGTGCAGTGGCTGGATCTCAGCTCACTGCAAGCTCCGCCTCCCGGGTTCACGCCATTCTCCTGCCTCAGCCTCCCAAGTAGCTGGGACTACAGGCGCCCGCCACCTCACCCGGCTAGTTTTTTGTATTTTTTAGTAGAGATGGGGTTTCACCGTGTTAGCCAGGATGGTCTCGATCTCCTGACCTCGTGATCCGCCCGCCTCGGCCTCCCAAAGTGCTGGGATTACAGGCTTGAGCCACTGTGCCCGGCCCTGTAACTGGCAATTCTAAATGGAAAGACCATGACACACATCAATAAGAATAAGACAGAACAACAACGTGGCTTAACAGGATGCCATGACTTTATAAACCTGTAGTAATTTAAGGCACATGAGATATACAAGTCTTAAGCTCAGAAGAGAGGCTGATAACAATTACATCACTACAGTTAAAGACCGCAAACTTTAGCCGGGTGCGGGGGCTCACACCTGTAATCCCAGCAACTTGGGAGGCCAAGGTGGGCAGATCATGAGGTCAGGGGTTCGAGACCATCCTGGCCAATATGGTGAAACCCTGTCTCTACTAAAAATACAAAAACTAACTTGGCGTGGTGAAGGGCGCCTGTAGTCCCAGCTACTGGTTAGGCTGAGGCAGAGGAATCACTTGAACCCAGGAGATGGAGATTGCAGTGAGCTGAGATCACGCCACTGCACTCCAGCCTGGGCAGCAGAGCAAGACTCCGTCTCAAAAAACAAACAAACAAACAAACAAACTTTGGCGTCAGGCTGGCTGGATTCAAAGCCTGATTTTGCCACTTGTTAGCCCATGAATAGTAACAAGAAGATACTTAAATTATCTGTGCTTTAAAATTTTCATCTGTAAACTAGAGATAATATTAGGACTTGCATGACAGGGTTTCTGTGAAGATCAAAAGAAATAATATATGAAAAGAACCTTAGCCTTAGAACTGTGCCTTACACAAAGTAAACACCCAGTAAATATTAACTCTTATTATAGAAGAGGGTGTGTTATCTCCTCAACTAGATAAAATAATCATAGAATGATGGTTTCAGAGTTTTGAGGCCGTTGAATGCAATTAGATTTTACAAATCTAATCAGTACAAGTAGATTTATGAAAAGAAATCTGGAATGCCTGCTAAATTTTTATTGAAGACAGTCATTGTGTCTGCATATGTAATGATGTATAATATATGCAAAATACATGCGTATTTAATGCTCAAAAGATATCTGCTTCTAGAGTGGATTAACGTTTCAGACAGTGAGACGTGGGGTCTATTGTTTTCATCTAAACAGGGATTAAGTTGATTAGATTCAGAGGTTGGTTGATTCAAGTGCTGACTGGTACACCTATTCCTATAGGGCACAGTCCTTTCAGAGCTCCAACTAAAAGTTTAACACGGGCCGGGCGCGGTGGCTCAAGCCTGTAATCCCAGCACTTTGGGAGGCCGAGATGGGCGGATCACGAGGTCAGGAGATCGAGACCATCCTGGCTAACCCAGTGAAACCCCGTCTCTACTAAAAAATACAAAAAACTAGCCGGGCGAGGTGGCGGGCGCCTGTAGTCCCAGCTACTCAGGAGGCTGAGGCAGGAGAATGGCGTGAACCCGGGAGGTGGAGCTTGCAGTGAGCCGAGATCGTGCCACTGCACTCCAGCCTGGGGGACATAGCGAGACTCCGTCTCAAAAAAAAAAAAAGTTAGCATCTAATTTACAGTACTGTTTAAATTTCCTCATTTGTCCAAAAGCATGTCCTTTATAGCTGTTTTAAAATCCATCATCCAATCAGATTTCATACATTTCATTGCTATGCTTCCTTAGTCTCTTTTGTCACCATGCTTATAGACTCAGGGTGAGGCGGAAGGCTTGCTTGAGCCCAGGAGGTGAAAGCTGCAGTGAGCTGATATGGTGCCACTGCACTCCAGCATGGGCAACAGAGTGAGACCCTGTCTCAAAAAAAAAAAAAATCACTCTGTATTCTATAAATATAGTATGTACAATTATTCCATGTCAATTAAAAATAAAAGAGAAAAAAGAGTCTTTACTGTATGATTCATGTATATGAAGTTCAAAAGCAGATGTTACTGATCTGCGATGACATAGTCAGGTGAGTTAGCACCATTGCATAGGCAGAGATGGAAAGAAGCTTGTGGGATGCGGGAAATATTCTGTTTCTGGATCTGGATGCTGGCTACATGGGGATGGAAAATCGCTGATATTACACTAACCACTCGTGAACTTTTCTGCATGTACATGAAACTTAGAATAAGAAAACGGAATTGCGGTTCACATGCTAGGCATGCCCGGAGCAGGCTAGTGGACAGCATCCTGTACCACCGTGTCCCATCTAAAGTGATACTATAATTCACAAATGTAGAAACATGTTCCTAATACTTCAGTGCATGCCAAAATAGGCAAACACTTGATTTACATTCAAAATCTCGCAGTAGCAAGGTCAACTACAGCCGCTTTCCCCCAGGGAGAGTCCAATATTTTATTCATGTCTCCTAAACTCTTATGATGAGCAACTACCATGGGCCAGGTCCTGTGCAGGGCTCTGAGGATCACAGGGTAAGACCCACATCCTCCCTCATGGAGACCAACATTCCCAGAAAACCCACGCAAATAAACATAGTAAGGTATGGTGACGTTCAGGGAGCTCTGCAGCACCACACAGAAGTTCTGACCTGGCCTGGGGGGGATCAGAGAAGCCTTTGATGAGAAAGTAGCAAATGAGGCCCCTGAAAGTAAGGGGAGGGTGTGCTCAAAGCAGATACAACAGCAAGAGAAGATCTTGAGAAACTGTAACTGCAAACTATTTTCAGCCTCATGCCTCAGTGGAACCTGCCTGTCAGGTGGGCACCTGGAATCTCATGCAACTTTCTCAAGGTGAGGCTATTTTTTTCTTTCATTTCTCAAGTAGCTTGTGGTAAGAAAAGTGAACTGAGGCTGGGTGCAGTGGCTCATTCCTGTAGTCCCAGCTGCTTGGGATGCTGAGGCGAGAGGATCGCTTGAGCCTGGGAGGCTGAGATTGCACCGCTGCACTCCAGCCTGGATGGTAGAGAGAGACCCCATCTCAAAAAAAAAAAAAAAAAAGAGAAAAGAAAAGTGAACTGAGTGTTCTGGGTCTCCCAAGGGCCCTTGAATGGCCTTGTCCTTCACTTGGAATAAAATTCAAACTTCTTCGCCTTGCTGTGACCTTGGTTGGCCTTTCCAGTTTGAGCTTTTCCCGATATTCCTCTCCCACAATACACTTCAGCTACAGTGGCCTCTTATCTGCACCTCAGACATGAAAAGATTTTTCATGTCCCTGGGCCTTTGCATTTGATGTTCCCTTTGCTTAGAACACTCTTCCCTCTCCTTCGATGAAAATGATACTTCCTCAGAGACGTCTTATCTTACCTTAAAATTACTGCACATCCTCTGAATCAGTGCTGTTGGTGGCATTCATAACACCAGTAGTATCATAATCAGAACTGTGTATTGGCTTGTTTCCTGTTTTATTTCCTGCATCCCTCCCTAGAATGCCAGCACTTGGGAAGGCGGCGGTGAGTTCTATTTTTGTAAACCCCAATTTACTACTCACTGGAACAAATCTTAACAGAGCGGGCATTCGAATAATTAAGTGAACAAATGAAGAAGTGTCAGGGGTGTTTTAACGTTAAGCTCTGCAAAATTCCCTGCTATTGGGGAGGTCATACCCTTTGAATATATCACCCTCTTTCCTCCTCATTAGTGCCACAGGGCAACCCCAGGGACTGATTCTAAAATTTATACGGAAAATTAGAGGCCCACTTTATCTTTTCCAATAGGATTTGGGAGTTTCTACCCTTGACCTTGTTAGACGTTTTCCTGAATTTTATTCCTGTAAAAGACAGATGGGGCCAGGTGAAATGGCTCACTTCTGTAATCCCAACACTTTGGCAGGCCAAGGCTGGATGATCTCTTGAGCCCAGAAGTTGAAGGCTGCAGTGAGCTATGATGGCACTGCTGCACTCTAGTCTGGGCAACAGTGAGACTCTAAAACAAAACATAAAAAGACACATATGGGTCCTTCAATCATTTGGCCTTCAGGCTACCCACAATGTTCCCAGAGTCAGAGTTCTTTCGCTTGTCCAAGTCTTCTCCAAATCAACCTGGTGGGGTGTGGAGGTTGAGGGAGAGGACAGAATTAGGGGTTAGTATAAGACAGGCCAAGACCAGAGTCCCATCTCTACTTCAGAAAGCTTGGGTCCACATTGAATGTGTGGAGGCCACATCTCATGAACAGAGACTAGATCTGTCTCATCCACCTAATTCCACTCACCCCACAAATAAGACCCATCATGGAGAAGAACGTTACAGGGAGGAATAAATAAATGAGTTAATAGGGTGCCTGAAAGGTGGAGAAAATGAGTAACAGAGGGACAGAGAGGGATGCTCAGAGGAAAGAGAGAAGCATGATTCTTTTTAAAATGCAATTTGTATTTTAAGTTTCCTTGCTGAAAACTAGTTATGGGCTCACAACTACCCCCAAATCCATACTCAAAAGAAGATGTAAGATCCTCTATGGTTTAGGCTCTGCCAAGTTCTTCACCATCATCCCTTGCTGTCGCGACTGGAAGAGGTTGGACTGAGACGGGCAGGTGAAGGGCTTAACCTTCCATCATCCCAAACTCCTAGCAAGATGCCTCCTGCTGTGCTCCAAGCCGCCCACACACAGGGCACTTCCTTCACCTTCTGAATTTGAGTCATCTTACCAACTTATTTTTCTCTCAGTGCCTTGTTTATTTACTCATTGATCCCAAGTGACATTTTTGAACATTTTATCCATTTTCTGTTCACTCCACTTTCCTTTATTTTCTTCCACTCTCTGGGGTCAGGGATCAGTCTTGAATCACAATTTTATTCCCAGTGCCCTACACAGCATCAGGCATAGAATAGGTTCTCAATAAACAGATATTGAATGGATTACTGGAGGGCGTGGTATTAGGGTAGGACAGGGTGGGGACATGATTACATTAAAATGTTGCTTAAATAAGCGGGTCTTTTAGCCCAGCAGTCACATAGAGTCAGCTCAGGAGCTCTGCGGCACACAGCTGATCGAACCCGCTCATTTCTAGAGGACACCATGCTGGGTAAGCTGGGCAAAGGCAAGAGGCTGGGGTTTGAATGATTGGGTTGCAGACAAATCAAGTGAGAGGTGTGGGACCTTGTGGTGGCTTCTGGGCTTTGTCAACCCTAGGTAGAAACCACTGGGTTTAGAAACCACTGGGTAAATTTCGAAACCACTGGGTTATACCAACAAGGATTGTTTGAAAAACAATTTGCAATGGGACTCTAGTAACTTGGGAGTTTGTTTCTCCACATCTCTTTTTTAAAGAGATGGAGTCTTCGTATGTTGCCCAGGCTGGCCTAGAGCTCCTAGGCCCTAGTGACCCTCCCACCTCACCCTCAGGAGTAGCTGGGACTTATAAGTGTGTGCCACCACGGCCAGCTAATTTTTAGATTTTTTGCAGAGACAGGATCTCACTCTGTTGCCTGAGCTCATCTTAAACTCCCATCCTTTTTAATGCCTGCTACTCTCATACTTTTTAAATGTCAGTCCATTGATGGGTATAAAATAGTACATGATCTTTAATTACCTGTTCTTTGTTAACCAGTGTGATTGAATCTGTTCACTCTATTTTAAAGGCCATTCTGTTTTTCCCTTATGCTAGTTTTTGTATTTATATCATTTCCCAGTTTGTTTGTTTGTTTGTTTGTTTTTTTGGTTTTCTTTTTTTTGAGACGGAGTCTCGCTGTGTTGCCCAGGCTGGAGTGCAGTGGCCGGATGTCAGCTCACTGCAAGCTCCGCCTCCCGGGTTTACGCCTTTCTCCTGCCTCAGCCTCCTGAGTAGCTGGGACTACAGGCGCCCGCCACTACGCCCGGCTAGTTTTTTTGTATTTTTAGTAGAGACGGGGTTTCACTGGGTTAGCCAGGATGGTCTCGATCTCCTGACCTCAGGTGATCCGCCCATCTCGGCCTCCCAAAGTGCTGGGATTACAGGCGTGAGCCACCGCACCCGGCCTATTTCCCAGTTTTTAGCATGTTTTTTTCTCAAGGTTTAGTAGAATATTTTTGTTGTCTTCTAGACACTAATAATTTATCTCTTATATGTGTTGCAAATATATTCTCCCAGCCTGGTTTGTGTTTTTCAATTCACTTATGAGTACTACTGTACCAATATTCTAAAAGTTGTCTTTGTGATATTTATCAACATTTTCCTTTTATAATTGTACTTGTAAAGCATAGTTTAGAAGTCTATTACTGGCTGGGCGCAGTGGCTCACACCTGTAATTCCAATACTTTCGGATGCCAAGGCGGGCAGATCACTTGAGGCCAGGAGTTGGAGACCACCCTGGACAACATGGCAAAACCCTGTCTCTACTAAAAATACAAAAATTAGCCGGGCATAGTGGAATGCGCCTGTGGTCCAAGCTACTTGGGAGGCTGAGACACAAGAATTGCTTGAACCTGGGAGGCAGAGGTTGCAGTGATCTGAGATTGCACCATTGCACTCCAGCCTGGGCAACAGAGCAAGATTCTGTCTCCAAAAAAAAAAAAAAAAAAAGTGTATTTCTTGGCTGGGGAAATAAATGTAATTTTACTTCTATTTTAACTTCTTAAAATTATTTGATTCTAATAGAAAAATTATGCATCAACAAGTTCACTTATTAAAACTTGTACCTGGTTCTTCTAATACATTTTCCTATTGTTTAATACCAAACTCACAAAAATACTAGTCAATTTTACATATTGACCTCTTAGCTTGGTAGATGATTTTAAACTCAAAGCCACATCCTTCCTTGATTTTACCTCCTATAACTTATCAATGTGCAGTGTTGCTTTTCTAAAGACCAATAGAATTCTAACTACCATCCTTTGAATGGAAATTCTACTTCCCTTTAGAAGCTTCTGGAACTTTCTATATATTCCTGGTATTCTGAAGTTTTTGCAACAATTATCCATTTGTTCATTTATTGTGCTCATCGTGGAATAGCTTCAGTCTGGAACCCCTGTGCCTCATCTCTCAAATCTTGAATTTTTAAAGTAAATATTTTCATGATACTCTGAAACTTTTAGTCACATAAATATTGCTAGTGTTGGACATCCCTGAGCAGAGATCTTATTATTTTCCGATTTTTTCACTCTTTTTGTTCACTTTTATATATTTTTTCTACTTCCTGGAACAGCTTTGTCTTCCAACTCTTCTACTATTGCCTAAGGGTTTCTTTTTAGCGATTGATTTCAAAGAACATTTGTCTTATCAGAGTTTCCTTTCTTTTCAAGACTATCTTGATGTATAGGTGCAATATCTTTTATTTATCTGAGAATATTAATTTTAACATTTACAGATTTTATTTTTATTTATTTATTTATTTATTTATTTGAGGCAGTATTTCACTCTGTCTCCCAGGCTGGAGTGCAGTGGTGTGATCTCAGCTCACTGCAACCTCCACCTCCCAGGTTCAAGTGATTCTCCTGCCTCAGCTTCCAAAGTAGCTGGGATTACAGGTGCCCGCCACCATGCCTGGCTAATTTTTTTTTGTATTTTTAGTAGAGAGGGGGTTTCACCCTGTTGGCCAGGCTGGCTTTGAACTCCTGATCTCAAGTGATCCACCCTTCTTGACCTCCCAAAGTGCTAGGATTACAGGCATGAGCCAATGTGCCCAGCCTTATTTCTTTTCTTAAGAAAAAAATGTGTTTGCTTGCTGCTTTCCTCCTCTTCCCCCTCTTTTCTTTTTCTCTTCCACCTTCCCTTTCTTTTTTCTCTCTTTGTCTCTGTATCTCCCTCTCTCTCTTTCTTGCTGTCCCCCTTCTGTTTGAGGATTTTTCTTCAATGTCCTGTAAATTTTTGTTCTCCCTTTGTGTCTAAACAAATGCTGAGACGCTTAGAGAAACCCGTGTGCTTGATCACTTGTCTTCACTGTGCGATGACTGGGCAGCATGTTGGCTTTTTTTTTTTCCCCATGTATTTGTATGAGGAATAAGAGCATCCTGAAAATAGAATCTTTCATATAAAATAGATGACCATGAGAATCAGGTTTTACTAGATGATGAGGTCTTATTTACATTCCAAACCACAGTAAAAACTCCCGTTCTGCACTAATACAGTTTGTATATTTGTCCCTTCCAAATCTCATGTTGAAATGTGCACCCCAGTGTTGGTGGTGGGCCCAGTGGGAGGGGTTTGAATCATGGGGGCAGATCCCTCTGAATGGCTTAGTGCCATCCTCATGGTAATGAGTGAGTTCTCTGTCTCTGAGTTCACACAAGAGCTGGTTGTTTAAAAGAGTCTAGGACCTTCCCCTGCTCTCTCTTACTCCCACTCTCACCATGTGACACCTTGGCTCCCCTTCACCTTCTGTCATGAGTGGAAGCTTCCTAAGGCCCTCACCAGAAGCAGATGCCAGCACTATGCTTGGTGTATAGCCTGCAGAGCTGTGAGCCAATTAATTCCTCTTTTCTAATTTACCCAGCTTTAGGTATTCCTTTATAAATGCAAAATGGACTAACACATGCACCAAGCCTGTAATTAACAGACTTACTTCTTTGGTTACTCACGTCTTCCCTAAAGGAGTGAACTTTCTGGGACCGTGTTACTGTTAAAGATACAGAGGCAAACAGTACAAGTGTAGTGATGCTGCCAAAGTCACAGAGCTAGTAAATGAGAATCGACATTCATTCTCAGGTCACTAAGCTTGATATCTGCTTCCTACTGACCCCATTAATAAATGGTCAAACCAATAGCTTCAGGGTCTCACAGGCCAACCAACACAGACAGAAGTGCCACTGAGTCTATGACCGGTTAGGATAATAGAGCCTCAAATACTCTATGAATCTTATAAACTCATATAAACCTGGTGTCAACATCATGCCACTATTCTATTCTATCTCAATAAGGACTCAACGAAATCTCTTCTTGAATTGTAGCTCCCATAATTCCCATGCGTTGTAGGAGGGACCCGGTGGGAGATAACTGAATCATGGGGCGGTTTCCCCCATACTGTGCTCATGGCAATGAATAAGTCTCATAAGATCTGATGGTTTTATAAGAGGTTTCTCCTTTTGCTTAGCTCTCATTCCCTCCCCTGCCTGCCACCATGTAAGATGTGGCTTTGCTCCTCCATGCCTTTCACCATGATTGTGAGGCCTCCCCAGCCATGTGGAGCTGTGAGTCCTTTAAACTTCTTTCCTTTATAAATTACCCAGTTTCAGGTATGTCTTTATTAGCAGCATGAGAAACAGAAAGATGCCCCCAAGTTGCCAGGAAAACAAATTGGTGCCCAACGTCATGGAGAAGTTGATGTTCCTCCTCCAGGGGCTGTAAGATGAGGCCACAGAAATAAGCTTATCCCATTTGTGGCTTAAAAATGTGTCCTGCTCAGTGGAAGTTGGTGCTGGTTTTCTAGGAATGCAGATGCAGAACCCTCCCAGCAAGAGGGTGAGAAGTGGGTCTCGTGAGTCAAATGTTTAGCCGAAGCTCTTGATTCCCAGGTCAAGCTCAGGAAAGAAGCTTACCTTTGGACTATATATATTTGCATTCTAATAAAACATTTTAAAATTTTTTTGTATTTGCATAGGTTATTGGGGAACCAGTGGTGTTTGGTTACATGAGTAAGTTCTTTAGTGGTGATTTGTGAGATTTTGGTGCGCCCATCACCCGAGCAGTATATACAGCACTATATTTGTAGTCTTTTATCCCTCACCCCATTCTCACCCTTTCCCTTGAGTCTCCAAAGTCCACTGTGTCATTCTTATGCCTTTGCATCCTCATAGCTTAAATCCCACTTATGAGTGAGAACATACGATGATTGGTTTTCCATTCCTGAGTTGCTTCACTTAGAATAATGGTCTCCAATCCCATACAGGTTGTTACAAATATCATTAATTCATTTTTATGGCTGAGTAGCATTCCATCATATAATTTATATATAATATATTATAATATTCATATTATTATAATTATATAATTATAATTATATACAATATAATTTATATACATTATATATAAATTATATATATATACACACACACCCCCCACAGTTTATCCACTCATTGGTTGATGGACATTTGGGTTGGTTCCACATTTTTACAATTGCGAATTGTGCTGCTATAAACACATATGTGCACATATCTTTTTCGTAAAATGACTTCTTTTCCTCTGGGTAGATACCCAGTAGTGGGATTGCTGGATCAAATGGTAGTTCTACTTATAGTTCGGGAAGGAATCTTTACACTGTTTTCCACAGTGGTTGTACTAGTTTACATTCCCACCAGCGGTGAAGTGTTCCCTGTTCACCACATCCACACCAACATCTATTTTTTTTTTTTATTATGGCCATTCTTGTGATTGTGATTTGCATTTCCTTAATCATTTGTGATGTTGAGCATTTTTTCCATATGTTTGTTGGCCATTTGTATATCTTTTAAGAATTATCTATTAATGTCCTCAGCCCACTTTTTGATGGAATTGTTTGGTTTTTTCTTGCTAATTTGTTTGAGTTCGTTGCAGATTCTGGATATTAGTCCTTTGTCAAATGTACAGATTGTGAAGATTTTCTTCTAGTCTGTGGGTTGTCTGTCTACTCTGCTGACTGTTCATTTTGCTAAGCAAAACTCTTTAGCTTAATTAAGTCCTAGCTATCTATCTTCGTTTTTATTGCATTTGCTTTTGGGTTCTTGGTCATTGTGTTGCTATCTCATTTCTTAGGTCTAGTACATATAAAGATGTCCATTGTCTCCTAAAGTTTTGATTATTTTTTATTTATGCTGTCTATTTCACTGAAGATTTCTACCCTAATTTCTTGTATCTTTTTTTTTTTTAATTTCCTTAAATTGGGCTTCACTTTTCTCTGGTGCCTCCTTGATTCGCTTAATAACTGACCTTCTGAATTCTTTTTCAGAAATGTCAGGGATTTCTTCTTGGTTTGGATCCATTGCTGGTGAACTAATGTGATTTTTGGGGATGTTAAAGAACCTTGTTTAGTCATATCACCAGATTTGGTTTTCTGGTTCCTTCTCATTTGTGTAGGCTCTGTCAGAGGGAAGGTCTAGGGCTCAAGGCTGTTGTTTAGATTTTTTTGTCCCATAGGTATTCCCTTGATGTAGTATTCTCCCTCTTTTTCTCTGAATTTTTTTTAATGAAAGCCTTTTGTCTGTTCCCTCTGCAGAAAGGCCAAAGCGAGAGCGTAGACAACGTACAAGATTTCTCTCCAAACAACTCACAGCATTGAGAGAAGTGCTTGCAAAGACCATGCACCCAAGTTTGGTTACCATGGGGAAACTGGCTTCAACGCTCCAACTTGATCTATCCGTAGTAAAGGTCTGTTACCAAGTGTGTCTGTAGGTAGCACACCTAACCCAGAGCTTCACACACACTTTTGATCACCGTTATAACAATTCCTATTTATTGGCAATTGCTATGTGTAAGGACAAATGTTAAGCACTTTATATTTTTATTGTCATGAGCACCCACTTTATTGAGGAACACTAAAGCTCACATAGAAGAGCTGTCTTCCAAGCATTATAAACACAAGAGTTGGAATTTGAACCCAGACCTTTCCAACTCCAGACCCACCATGCTACACAGGACTCTTTGAAGCTGGATCTCAGATACTCCCATTCGGGTCTGTTCTTGTGTATTCAGGGTGGGTTCTGTTTAATCAGGATGATCACAGTCATCCAGATATCTGTCACTAAGTTCCCACAAAGTGTTCAGGGGAGAACACCTGGATGAACACTGAAGACAACCCAAGCTAAACTCTCACCCCATACTCTGACTTTAAAATACTTTCTCTGGGCACCAGGCATGGTGGCTCACACTTGTAATCCCAGCACTTTGGGAGGTGGAGGCAGGAGGATTGCTTGAGCCCAGTTCAAGACCAGCCTGGGCAACATAGTAAGACCATGTCTCTACAAAAAAAAAAAAAAATTAAAAATTAACCAGGCCTGGAGGCACATGGCTATAGTCCCAGCTACTTGGGAGACTGAGATAGGAGGATTGTTTAAGCCCAGGAGTTCAAGGCTGCAGTGAGCTATGATTGCACCACTGCACTCCAGGCTGGGTGACAGAGTAGTACCTTGTCTCAAAGAAAAAAAAATACACCACTAATACAAACACCCTTCTATTTAATACATCATGATCTAAGTCATATTCCACCCATTGTTAGTACAATCCTACCCCCACTTTTCCCTTGAAACCCAGGACAGCAGAGGATAGAAAGAGCTTCCCTTGTTCCAATAAATGTGAGACTAACTCTCACTCCAAAAAACCAAATTCCTGAGGAACATGAGGATGCTCCTTTATACTCAACCTCCATTATTAACCTTCCCACTCCTCCCTCCCCAGATTTGGTTCAAGAACCAGCGTGCCAAATGGAAGAGGCAGCAGCGGCAGCGAATGCAGCCATGGCCATCACTAGGACCATCAAACCAGACCCTTTCAGTGAAGAAGGAGGAGACTGCCTCAGCTATAACTACTGCAAACATTCGTCCAATAAGTCCCAGAATCTCTGATGCAAATGACCATGATCTCCATGAGCCTTCTGATATCAAGAATCCTGGAGGAGCCGGCGCCTCTGTGAGGGATTCATCCTGGGACTCTCGGGCACATGACATTGAACAGATATGTCTGGGGGCTTCAAATCCTCCTTGGGCCTCCACTGTCTGTGAAATAGATGAATTTGTAAAGATCTACGACTTGCCAGGGGAAGATGACACCAGCAGCCTAAATCAATATCTTTTTCCAGTATGCCTTGAGTATGACCAGCTCCAATCTTCAGCGTAACTTCTTACACATAGCTTCTAGGGGAGGTCTGTGATCTGATCCACTGAAACATATTTCCAAACATCTTTAATGGGTTGAGCCCAGTCTAAGTAGATCCAGGGCTGGGAATTTATCTTTTTCTGTTAAAAAACAAAACAAAAAAAAACCAAAAAAAAAAACAATAAAGGAACTCCCCTACCTTTCATCACTGCCTGCATTTTCTGAACTCCATTTGAGTGCCTTCTCACCCAAATTTCAGCATTAAAAAGCGTCATCAGAGAAGGGACGCCAGAAATACAGTGACATAAGAGGTTCCTGACTCTGATGCACTGAATAAACATCTATGCCTGGATCATTTGTCTCTGGAAGAAAGTCAGAAGTGAGTTGAGAGATTCTTACACACCAGGCAACTAAGAAAATGTCTCATCAGGCCAGGCGCGGCAGCTCACGTCTGTAATCCCAGCCTTTTGGGAGGTCGAGGTGGGCAGATCACAAGGTCAGGAGCTCAAGACCATCCCGGCTAACATGGTGAAACCCCGTCTCTACTAAAAATACAAAAAATTAGCTGGGTGTGGTGGCAGGCGCCTGTAGTCCCAGCTACTCAGGAGGCTGAGGCAAGAGACTTGCTTGAACCCAGGAGGCAGAGTTTGCATGAGCCAAGATTGCACCACTGCACTCCAACCTGGGTGACGTGACAGAGCAAGACTCCATCTCAGAAAAAAAGAAAAAAAAGAAAAAAAAGTCTTATCAAACAGGCAGGAAAAGCTGAAGCACTCGGAAATACTAAACCCACTCTGGGCACTGAGCCATACAATCAGGAAGGAATCCCCAGTTCCCAGCTTCTCCCCCACGAGAAAAGGGGTGAACCACACATATAGCACCCTAACTGTTGATGGTTAAGTTCCTAACGAGCCTGCATCAGGGAGTTGACTAGGTAGGTAAACTACAGACTTCCAAGAGCCTGAACAGAAGCTAGGTGCCACCCAAGCCTTCAGCCCAGCTCAGACCGGCAATAAATCCAGGTCTCTCCATTCCTCCTGGAAGAAGTTTGTCCACACATCAAACACCCCAACTTTTAGACCTGCACTCAAAGGACTGCATCCTAAACCCCCTAGCTCTGGAAATGGAAGGGATTAAGCATACGTGAGTCTCCCTAGCTCACAGAAGAAAAAAGCGGTTTTAAGCAGGCACATAAGCACTTCAAGGCTAGCCTTCCTCCACCTCACTCCCCCAACCGGAGCAGTGCAGAGAAGGGGTCAAAATGCACAGCTCCCAGTTTCTCAAAAAGGATTTGCCAGCACACTCTTCCAGCTGCTGCTTGATAGTCATGCTTTTAACCAGCCTGTATCTGGAAGTGAACCGGACAGACAAATGCTGGACCCGTGGGAGCCTGCGTGGGAGTTCAGACACTGCCCAAGCCTTTGGCCCTTGCTTGCTCCAGTGGTAAGTCTATAGACTCTCCCTGGAGGGAGTTCTTCCATGCAGTGAGCACCCAAACTTTTGCAGCTTCCACTGCATCCTAAATCACCTATCTCTGGGAACTGAAGGAATTTGACATTCGCTAGTCTCCCCGGATCACAGCAAAGAGGTGATTTTAAACTGATGCACAAGCATTTCCAGGAGATGAGAATAGTCCCAGGAGCCTGAGGCTCAACACACCCAGCTGGCCAGCACTACCACCTCAGGTGGCATCTACTTGCATGTGCCACTTATGGGCCTGGAGACTGGCCTGCTCAGCCCATTGCAGCCATCACCAACACTAGCACCAGCTGACTTTGAGCTAGATGGTCCTGCCAGTATTACTGCCATTGCCCATGCCACCCTTGCTGCCCAGTGGCCCCAGGAACTACACACCTACCTGGCCCATGGCTGGCAATACCAGCACCCAAGCAAGCCACCTGGAAGCCTGGGAATTGGCCCACCTGAACCTGCTAAGACCTGTGCCAGCATACACCATCCTGGGGCTCAAGGACAGGCATACTTGGCCCACCACTGCCACTGCTGGGCCCGAAAACCGGCCCACCTGACATCCCCTATCCCTGGAAAAGATTCACAGTCTCCACTAACGACTTCACCTTAAGCCACAGAGGAAATAACACTACTGATGTTGCTTTCAGCCAAATAAATCATACAGAGGCTATACCTGGATAAAGAATTCAAAATAATGATATTAAAGAAGCTCAGTGAGATACAAAAGAACTCAGAAAAATAATACAAACAAATTAGAAAAACAATTTAGGATATGAATGAGAAATTTACCAAAGAGATAGACATAAAAAAGAACCACACAAATTCTGGAAATGGGCCGGGCGCGGTGGCTCAAGCCTGTAATCCCAGCACTTTGGGAGGCCGAGACGGGCGGATCACAAGGTCAGGAGATCGAGACCATCCTGGCTAACACGGTGAAACCCCGTCTCTACTAAAAAGTACAAAAAACTAGCCGGGCGAGGTGGCGAGCGCCTGTAGTCCCAGCTACTCGGGAGGCTGAGCCAGGAGAATGGCGTAAACCCGGGAGGCGGAGCTTGCAGTGAGCAGAGATCCGGCCACTGCACTCCAGCCTGGGTGACAGAGCGAGACTCCGTCTCAAAAAAAAACAAAAAAACAAAAAAAACAAATTCTGGAAATGAAGACTTCATTGAATGAAGTACAAAATCTATTTGAAAGCTTCAATAAAAGACTAAATTAAGTAGAAAAAAAGAATTTCAGAACTTGAAGCCACATCTTTTGAAATAACCCAGGAAGGCAAAAATAAAAAAGAATTTAAAAAGAATGATAAACGCCTTCATGACATATGATACCATAAAGCAACCAAATTTTCAAATTATTGGGGTCCCAGCAGGCAAAGAGGGAGAAAAGGGTAAGAAAGTCTATTTAATAAAATAATGGACCAGGCACGGTGGCTCATGCCTGTAATCACAGCACTTTGGGAGGCCGAGGCGGGTGGAGCACCTGAGGTCAAGTGTTCAAGACCAGCCTAGCCAACATGGTGAAGCCGGTCTCTAGTAAAAAATACAAAAATTAGCTGGTGTGGTGGTACACGCTTGTAGTTTCCAACTACTTGGGAGGCTAGGCAGAGAGAATTGCTTGAACTCAGGAGCCGGAGGTTCCAGTGAGCCGACATTGCACCACTGCACTCCAGCCTGGCAACAGAGCGAGACTCCATCTAAAATACAACAACAACAAAAAATGTGATTTATACACAATGGATTTTTTTTTTTTTTTTTTTGAGACGGAGTCTCGCGCTGTGTCACCAGGCTGGAGTGCAGTGGCGCGATCTCGGCTCACTGCCAAGCTCCGCTCCAGGTTCACGCCATTCTCCTGCCTCAGCCTCCGAGTAGCTGGGACTACAGGCGCCCACCACCACGCCCGGCTAGTTTTTTGTATTTTTTTTTTAGTAGAGACGGGGTTTCACCATGTTAGCCAGGATGGTCTCGATCTCTCTGACCTCGTGATCCACCTGCCTCGGCTCCCAAAGGCTGGATTACAGGTTGAGCCACCGTGGCCCGGCCTGGATTTTTTTTTTTTTAATACTTTAAGTTCTAGGGTACATGTGCATAACGTGCAGGTTGTTACATATGTATACTTGTGCCATGTTGCTGTGCTGCACCCATCAACTCGTCAGCACCCATCAACTTGTCATTTACATCAGGCCATAACTCCAATGCCATCCCTCCCGCTTCCCCCTCCCATGATAGGCCTGGTGTGTGATGTTCCCCTTTCCGAGTCAAGTGATCTCATTGTTCAGTTCCCACCTATGATGATGAGAACATGCGGTGTTTGGTTTTCCTGTTCTTGTGATAGTTTCCTGAGAAATGATGTTCCAGCTGATCCGTGTCCCTACAAATGGACACAATACTCATTTCCGTTTTTTATGGCTGCATAGTAGTTCCACGGTTATATTGTGCACATTTTCTTAATCTCAGTCCTGTCACGATGGACATTTGGGTTTATTCCAAGTCTTTGCTATTTGTGAATAGTGCTGCAATAAACACTACGTGTGCATGTGCTTTTTATAAGCAGCAGTGATTTATAATCCTTTGGGTATTACCCAGTAATGGGATGGCTGGGTCATATGGTACTTCTAGATCTAGATTCTTGAGGAATCGCCATACTGTTTTCCATAATGGTTGAACTAGTTTACAATCCCACCAACAGTGTAAAAGTGTTCCTATTTCTCCACATCCTCTCCCAGCACCTGTTGTTTCCTGACTTTTGAATGATCGCCATTCTAACTGGTAGATGGTATCTCATTGTGGTTTTGATTTGCATTTCTCTGATGCCAGTGATGATGAGCATTTTTTCAGTGTGTCTGTTGGTTGTATGCATGTCTTCTTTGAGAAATGTCTGTTCATATCCTTTGTCCCACTTTTTGGATGGGGTTGTTTTTTTCTTGTAAATTTGTTTGCTTCTTTGTAGTGTTCTGATATTAGCCCTTTGTCAGATGAGTAGATGCAAAAAGTTTTCTCTCGATTTCTGTAGGTTGCCTGTTCACTCTGATGGTAGTTTCTTTCGCTGTGCGGAAACTCTTTAGTTTAATTAGATCCCATTTGTCAATTTTGGCTTTTGTTGCCGTTGCTTTTGGTGTTACACAATGGATTTATACACAATTTGGCCATTAAGAAAGTATTAATAAAGAATGAAATCCTGTCATTTGCAACATAGATGAGCCTAAAGGACATTATGTTAAATGAAATAAACTAGACACAGAAAGACAAATACCACATGATCTCACACACAGGTGGAATCCTAAAAAGCGGACCCTATGCCTTACTCCTGCAAGAATGGCCACAATAAAACAATAACAAAATCAAAGATCAAAAAGTCAAAAAATAATGGGTGTTGTGCATGTGATGAAAAGGGAACACTTTTACACTCTTGGTAGGAATGTAAACTAGTACACCCACTAGAGAAAACAGTGGAGATTCCTTAAAGGACAAAAAGTAGATTTACCATTTGATCCAGCAATCCCACTACTGGGTATCTGCTTAGAGGAAAATAAGTCATTTTTTTTACTTATATAC